CAAAGGGCAGTCTATTATACTGGTAAAGTCCCTCTTGCGTGTTTATTGTTGTGAACTTTTTGGAATCTCCATCCAGTTCCAGCTGCTGATAGGCCTGTGACATATCCAGCTTCGTGAACCTGCTCCTACTCCTTAAGTGTTGCAAGCAAATCTTCGGTCTTCGGATTTGGGTAACTGTCTAACTTAGACACCTGATTTACTGTACACTTGTAATCTCCACAGATGCGTACTGTTCCGTCTTGCTTCAAAACAGGAACTATGGGTGCCGTCCACTCTGAAAACTCAACTGGTGATAATATGCCTTCATTCTGCAACCGATCCATTTCCGTCTCAACCTTTGCTTTGAGTGCGTATGGTACTGGTCAGCCTTCATAAACCTGGGTGTAGCCCCAAGGTCAACATAGATTTTAGCCCTAGTACCCGTGAGTGTACCCACTCCCTCACTAAACACATCCTTGTGTCCTTCCGGACTCTATGTAGCTGAGGGTTGTTCTCTTGGATGTTGAATATTATTTTGCAAGTTGAGCTTGACCGCCTGGAGCTAGTCTCTACCATGAAGATTGGGACCATGACTCTTCACTATAATGGCTGGAAAATTGTACTGCTGATCTTGGTACTCAACTGGAACAATCACCTCCCCTGTCACAGATATTTAGGTATTTTTAAGAAATGTGATGCATGTTCTTGTGTGGTGTATATAACTTTTACTTAATGTATACATAAATGTACATAGTCGATCTTATCAAGTTTTCACTGTATTATAACTCGTTAATTCAGTAGGTTACTGCAAGAGAGTTCAATAAACTGTTATTATTATATGTCCGCTCGGCAGTATATGTGCTTAACACAGCCTTTGAACATCTCAGGTCCACCTTGTCACGCAACTTGTTGTACGTCCCATCACTCAAAATACTTCTAGCCGCACCAGTGTCAATCTCGAATTTGCAAGTTTCATTGCAAAGTTCAAGGAAAATTTCATATGGCTAATGCTTGTTTTCCCCATGAATGTGGTACATTGTCGTGACGTAAACATACATATATACATACTTTTTAAATGATGCTCCCTAAATGGGTTTTTCA